GAATGACAAGACACTAGCCAATATTTATTAAGCTTACAGAAGGCAAATAATTTCTGCAAAACAAAATATACATTGAGGGAAAAAAGTATTTGATCCCCTGCTGATTTTGTACGTTTGCCCACTGACAAAGAAATGATCAGTCTATAATTTTAATGGTAGGTTTATTTGAACAGTGAGAGACAGAATAAAAACAAAAAAATCCAGAAAAACGCATGTCAAAAATGTTATAAATTGATTTGCATTTTAATGAGGGAACTAAGTATTTGACCCCCTCTCAATCAGAAAGATTTTTGGCTCCCAGGTGTCTTTTATACAGGTAATGAGCTGAGATTAGGAGCACACTCTTAAAGGGAGTGCTCCTAATCTCAGCTTGTTACCTGTATAAAAGACACCTGTCCACAGAAGCAATCAATCAATCAGATTCCAAACTCTCCACCATGGCCAAGACCAAAGAGCTCTCCAAGGATGTCAGGGACAAGATTGTAGATCTACACAAGGCTGTAATGGGCTACAAGGCCACCGCCAAGCAGCTTGGTGCGATTATTCGCAAATGGAAGAAACACAAAAAAGTGGGATTAAAATTGATTTCATTGTAATTTTTTGTCAACGATCTACACAAAATACTCGGTCAAAGTAAAAATAAATAAAACATCTAACATTTGTAAGAAAAAAAGAAAATAAAAAAAGAAGTGTATGTGTGTATGTATATATGTGTATATATATATATATATAAAACACTATCTTGATTAGATAAGTATTCAACCCCCTAAGTCAATACTTGTTAGAATCACCATTAGCAGCGATTACAGCAATCAATTTGGTTGTTGATCATTGCTAGACAGCCATTTTCAACTCTTGCCATTGATTTTTAAGCCGATTTCAGTCAAAACTGTAACTAGGCCACTCAGGAATATTCGATTTAGTCTTGGTAAGCAACTCCAGTGTATATTTGGCCTTGTGTTTTAGGTTATTGTCCTGCTGAAAGGTGAATTAATCTCCCAATATCTGTTTGGAAAGCAGACTGAATCAGGTTTTCCTCTAGGATTTTTCCTGTGCTTAGCTCTAGTCCATTTATTTTTATCATAAACTCCCTAGTCCTTGCCAATGACAAGCATACCCATAACATGATGCAGCCACCACCATGCTTGAAAATATGGGAAGTGGTACTCAGTGATGTGTTGTGTTGGATTTGGCTAAAACATAACGCTTCGAATTCAGGACAAAGTTAATTTCTTTGCCACATTTTTTGCAGTTTTACTTTAGTGCCTTGTTGCAAACAGGAGGCATGTTTTGGAATATTTTTATTCTGTAAATGCTGCCTTTTCACTCTGTCAATTAGGTTAGTATTGTGGGGTAACTACAATGTTGTTGATCCATCCTCAGTTTTCTCCTATCACAGCCATTAAAGTGTAAGTAATAACTTCACCATGCTCAAAGTGATATTCAATGTCTGCTTTTTTATTTTTACCCATCTACCAATAGGTGCCCTTCTTTGCAAGGCATTGGAAAACCTCCCTGGTCTTTGTGGTTGCGTCTGTGTTTGGAAATCACTGCTCGGCTGAGGGACCTTACAGATAATTGTATGTGTGGGGTACAGAGATGAGGTAGTCATTCAGAAATCATGTTAAACACTATTATTGCACACAGCGAGTCCATGCTACTTATCATGTGACTTGTTAAGCACATTGTTACTCATGAACATATTTAGGCTTGCCATAACAAAGGGGTTGAATACTTATTGACTCAAGACATTTCAGCTTTTCATTTTTAAATAATTTGTACAAAACTTGAAAAACATAATTCCACTTTGGCATTATGAAGTATTGTGTGTAGGCCAGTGCCAAAAACATCTCTATTTAATCTATTTTAAATTCAGGCTGTAACACAACAAATTGTGGAAAAAGTCAAGGGTTGTGAATACTTTCTGAATGCACTGTATTTCTAATACCTTTTAAGACTTTTGGTAGATGTTTTCTAAGACCCATTTCCCATCTGTTTGACCAGAAACCAAAGACTTTGCTTATTCCAAATTTTAGGATGGGAAATGGTTGAAAAAATGTAATTATTTATCAAAAATAGACTTTTAGCTTTCGGTTTACACCAAATTTGATGTGCTGCTATGAACTTCACATGTTCATGCTCATGGAGATTTTTACATGGAAATGCCTTGCTGCTTAACCCGCAGCCACGGCTGTAATAATAATAATAATATGCCATTTAGCAGACACTTTTATCCAAAGCGACTTACAGTCATGCGTGCATACATTGTACATCCACCACTGGGTTCTCACGGCACAAATTGAGGACGCCACACATTTTTTCCCTCTCTGCCTCTGCATTTGTATGAGATGAATGTAACAGACTGATTTCTGAGAACTGTTATAAGAAGTGGTAGCTTCCTTCCTGAGAATTGTATGCATAAATATCCCCTAAAAATAACCAATCTGTCAGAATTTGTGTTTGAGGAGGAAGTGGATGTCTAGGCCCCCCTACACCCGTTTTTAAAGAGTGGTTGGTTTGAGAGAATTTTCAGATGAATCTGTAATCTCGTACATCATTCAGAGGGGAAATGTTAGAGTAGCACAATGGCAGGGCAACCTAGCGAGAGCTACATTCTACATCAGTAGAAACACTCATCAGCTAAATATGCTGCTGGGCCTGTTAGGTCACATTCTCAGACCAGACACAAGCACACACACACACACAGTTTTGTATTGCTGTCCTTGTGTGAGGACCAAATAATTAATTCCCATCCAAAATCATATTTTCCCTAACCCTAAATCCAACCATAACCCTACCCTTAAACCTTACCTTAACCCTAAAACTATACCTAACCCTAACCTTAATTCTAACCCTAAACCTAATTGTAACCTGAACCCCTAAGCCTAAAATTAAAAAACTAAATCATTGTGGGGACCGGCAAAATGTCCCCACGTGTCCGGATTGTCCTTGTTTTACTATCCTTGTGAGGACTTCTGGTACCCACAAAGATAGTTAAACAACAGCACACACACACAGTGTTTTCAGTGTGACACCCCATCAAAGGCACTACACCTCTCCAAGGTGATCATGTGTGCAACTGACAATACATTTGTATGCCTTCTATAAACAGCTGTTGTGTGTGTGTGTGAACTCAGTTGAAGATTTTAGGCAGAAAAAAGCTCATGCCAGTTAGAATGGAAACAGATAAAGTAGGCCTATGTGGTTTCTCAGATGACCAACGTTTCCTCTTTCAGAGACCGAGAGAGAGGGAGGGGATTCCACACTGACACCATTTTAATTTCCACTCTTCTTCCCTCTCCATGGGTCAGAGCATGATTAGCAAGAAGACTGAGCAGAGCGTTGTTAAACTGGAATTGAAAGCTAATGGCACATCTGAATGTGCTAATAAAGACCTTGTCTGAAAAGGATTAGGCAGAATTCAAATGGCAGTTTTCTTATATAATTGGAGTTTCCCTTCCCCAGAATCTCCAACACATCAGATCACGCCAGTGTGATTCTAGGAAATGGGCACATGTCACAACTGACCGATATGTACTAAACTGACTGACAGCAGTTGCTGGTCAGTTCCTGTCCAAATGCCAAGAGCCTTTTCCAAACTTTCTCACGCTTTTCTATCTGACCAATACTATTAACAAGACAAGTCAATATCTATGGTTGTGAGTTAGGACTTACTAACACATGCCTTGACAGACAGACGACCTGACATATGCCTTGGCAGTGTTCTTAGCAACACAGCCTGAAGAACAGAGGGTCACCTGTGTGTCAGTAATTCACTCTACCCACACTCCACCAGGATCCTCTCCGTTTTAAAACTTGGAAGTCACACAGAGCCCACAGAGGAAGTGTTTGTGTCCAAGTCTATGAGATGCATCGGAAACTAGCCGTAAAGAATTCCTAAGGGCTATCTTCCTCCCAGACTATTAGCTATCTCCAGCAGCCTGAGCTAGGGCCTTTTACAGCTCCTCTAATGAACAGAGGCTGATTCACTTACAGCCTATCGATCTCCCTGGAACTCCCTAGCTGGTTCCCCCTGCCTCATCCTGCATGTTGCCACACCTCCCATCCCCTCCGGTGCTAGCCGACTGTAAGCTGCCCGGCCGTTAGTTGCCCATCAGGGCAGGTATGATGGCTCTAGTTGGCTCCATTGTTGGCCATAAGCGGGTTGCAGGAGCAGCAGGGGGTCCACTCCATGGACAGCTGCCGGGCAGGAAGGTGCAAGGTCGAGGTGGATGCGGGTGGATATTCGCTGCGTGATCAGAACACGACCCCCTAACGTTTAAATCTGCTAACTTAAGCAGAAAAAAATCTGGGGAATGTGCTGCTTTAATCAAATGTATGTTTCTGTTTCTCTTTCTGGAAGTCCTGAGTCTAGTGCAACGGGAAAGAGAGGGTCTCTTGTTTTGAACCGAGCCCACTGAATGATGTTGTGTAACCAGTTCCCGCTCTCACAGCACTGTACATTTTTTAATATACATCTTAGTCATTTAGCAGACGCTCTTATCCAGAGCGACTTACAGTTAGTGAGTGCATACATTTTCATACTGTACTGTACTGGATGACTGATCAAATGTTAAACATGCCTCGCTTTAGTAAGTTACGTGGTTTTAATAAGTGAATCGTAATGTATTTTGAATTGACCAATAAGCTGTATTATTCGACTGTAGGCTAGGGCTATATCTGTACCAGTTTATATGTGTGACAGAGACTCATGAGGACACAGGCCTTCTGGGGGCACAGACGTCATAATGCTTAAAGTTGAGGAAATAAGTCTGCTGTCAACAACTGAATCTCAGCTGAGATATTCAAAGGCTTCCTGAGGTTAACATCATTTCAGCACCCTTGTAAGATCAGGGGATATTGACGCTCCAACTGTACCAAACATCAATGTAAAGGGGCAAAGGCTTCACATCTACATCCTCAACCTTATTTAATCAAGTTACAAGATAATGTAGATCTTTGACATGCCCAGCGTGCTTAGGCTTTGACATCTGCACAGTTCATACAGTAGCTTTACAGAAGCACAGTTGGGGTGGGTGAGGGGTCGGAGGGGCCGGGGGGTCGGATGGGCCAGGGGTGGTCGGATGGGCCAGGGGGTTGGAGGGGCCAGGGGTGGTCGGATGGGCCAGGGGTGGTCGGATGGGCCAGGGGGTCGGATGGGCCAGGGGGTTGGAGGGGCCAGGGGTGGTCGGATGGGCCGGGGGTGGCCGAGGGGTTGGGGGGGCCAAGGGGTTGGAGGGGCCGGCGGTGGTCGGATGGGCCAGGGGTGGTCGGATGGGCCGGGGGTGGTCGGATGGGCCGGGGGTGGCCGAGGGGTTGGGGGGGCCGGGCGGTGCGACACACAAGGCCAGCCCAACCCCATAGATGCAGTAAAGAGGTCAATCGAACTCGACCAAAACAATGGAATTGCCATGGAAACGCGTGGGGGAAAGGCCATGAGGGAAAGATCCCGAGTCTCCTCATTGCCCTCCAGCTAAGTATGTCTACATTTAGGATATTGTTTATGTGTATTTCACACTATATTGAGGTAAACATTTTAATATAATGCTTTTATGGATGTCAACCCCAATACATGCTCATGTCATCGTTACCAATCAACTGCATTACAGTTAAAAACGAATTTGACTACCACCACCGATTTCTGTGCTAGCTATGCTAACCATCTTATACGAACAGGAGTTAGCATTTAGCAGTCACTTCTTCTAAACCTGAAAAGGGAGAACTTCTAAATGTTATGCAGTTAAAACATCCACATTTATCCAAATCGGACTTAAGTAACCACATTGTGGACCTGTTACAATACATAAATCATGACGGATTTGACGAATATCCCCTTTGTTAGATCAGATTTGTTGAATGTGCACCAATCTGGTCAATGGGACGTCTGTGTTCCATTGACTCCTTTACCACATCTATGGCCGCCGCTCGGCTCTGCTCGTCTCCGCTAGCTGACCTTTGAGCACTGTTTGTGTGCTCAGAATACGTTAAAGCTGATGTTCTTGGAAAGGACTGAAACTCTCCCCCTGCCCCCCTAAACTATCCCCAGGCCTCCACCCCCTGTGGGCCGCTGGCCACTCAGCTATGAATGGCCTTGAGAGATTGAATGGTTTCTCAGAGGAGTTGATTATTGTAATTTACATAATGGCCTTGCTCTGGAGTGACAGGCAGAGTTGAGGCTGAAAGAGAAAAGAGCACAAACACAAAACATTTCCCCACAGTGGGAGCAGGAGAAGAGAAGGGGGCCGCGGAATAAGAAAAAGAGGAGGGGGAGGGGATGGAAGAGAGATTGGAGACAGGGAGAGCACAACACAACTCAAAAAGTGCTATTTATGGGATTGTATGAAATGTATATTTTTTTGAGGGTCTGAGATGATAGCTGTCCGGGACAAATGGTACTTGCTCACTGGGTCTGAGAGACTGAAAAACAGCTTCTATCTCAAAGCCATCAGACTGTTAAATAGTTAAATAGACTTTTAAATAGTCACCACAAGCTGGCCTCCGCCCAGTACCCTGACCTGAACAATGATTTTACTGAGTTACAGTTCATATAAGGAAATCAGTCAATTGAAATAAGTCAATTAGGCCCTAATCTATGGATTTCACATGACTGGGAATACAGATATGCATGTGTTGGTCACAGATACCATAAAAAAAGGTAGGGGCGTGGATCAGAAAACCAGTCAGTATCTGGTGTGACCACCATTTGCCTTATGCAAACTCACATAGAGTTGACCAGGCTGTCGATTGTGGCTTGTAGAATGTTGTCCCACTCTTCAATGGCTGTGCGAAGTTGCTGGATATTGGCAGGAACTGGAACACGGTGTCGTACACGTCGATCCAGAGCATCCCAAATATGCTCAATGTGTGACATGTCTAGGGAGTATGCAGGCCATGGAAGAACTGGGACATTTTCAGCTTCCATGAATTGTGTACAGATCCTTGTGACGTGGGGCCGACCTTGCATTATCATGGTGAAACATGAGGTGATGGCAGCGGATGAATGGCACGACAATGGGCCTCAGGATCTCGTCATGGTATCTCTGTGCATTCAAATTGCCATCGATAAAATGCAATTGTGTTCGTTGTCCATAGCTTATGCCTGCCCATACCATAACCCCACCGCCACCATGGGGCACTCTGTTCACAACGTTGACATCAGCAAACCACAGATGAGCTTCTCTGAGACGGTTTCTGACAGTTTGTGCTGAAATTCTTTGGTTGTAAAAAAAAAAACACCGTTTCATCAGCTGTCCGGGTGGCTGGTCTCAGACGATCCTGCAGATGAAGAAGCCGGATGTGGAGGTCCTGGGCTGGTGTGGTTATACGTGGTTTGCAGTTGTGAGGCCGGTTGGAGGTACTGCCAAATTTTCTAAAATGACGTTGGAGGCGGCTTATGGTAGAGAAATTAACATTCAATTCTCTAGCAACAGCTCTGGTGGACATTCCTGCAGTCAGAATGCCAATTGCATTCTCCCTCAACTTGAGACATCTGTGACGTTGTTGTGTGACAAAACTGCACATTTTAGAGTGGCCTTATATTGTTCCCAGCACAAGATGCACCTGTGTAACGATCATGCTGTTTAATCAGCTTCTTGATATGCCACACCTGTCAGATGGCTGGATTATTTTAGCAAAGGAGAAATGCTCAGTAACAGGGATGTAAACAAATTTGTGCACAACATTTGAGAGAAATAAGCTTTTTGTGAGTATGGAACATATCTGGGATCTTTTATTTCAGCTCATGAAACATGGGACCATCACTTTACATGTTGCATTTATATTTTTATTCAGTATACATAGTCATGGAACACTGGTCACTTTAATAATGTTTATATACTGTTTTACCCACTTGTGTAAATACTGTATTCTAATCAAGGTCTATTGTATTTACCTATTGCTGGACATATACTATTCTATCCTACATATTCTCTCTCTATATATATATATACTACCAGTCAAAAGTTTGGCCACATCTACTCATTCAAGGGTTTTTCTTTATTTTTACTATTTTTTACATTGTATAATAATAGTGAAGACATCAAAACTATAAAATAACACATATGGAATAATGTAGTAAACAAAATAGTGTTAAACAAATCAAAATATATTTTATATTTGAGATTCTTCAAATAGCCACCCTTTGCCTTGATGACAGCTTTGCACACTCTTGGCATTCTCTCAACCAACTTCATGAGATAGTCACCTGGAATGCATTTCAATGACCCAACACACCTCCAGGCTGTGTAAGTGCTATTTTACCAAGAAGGAGATTGATGGAGTGCTGCATCAGATGACCTGGCCTCCACAATCCCCCGACCTCAACCCAATTGAGATGGTTTGGGATGAGTCGGAAGGCAGAATGAAGGAAAAGCAGCCAACAAGTGCTAAGCATATGTGGGGACTCCTTCAAGAATGTTGGAAAAGCGTTCCAGGTGAAGCTGGTTGAGAGAATGCCAAGAGTGTGCAAAGCTGTCATCAAGGCAAAGGGTGGCTATTTGAATAATCTCAAATATAAAATATATTTTCATTTGTTTAACACCTTTTTGGTTACTACATGATTCCATATGTGTTATTTCATAGTTTTGATGTCTTCACTATTATTCTACAATGTAAAAATAAAGAAAAACCCTTGAATGAGTAGGTGTGTCCAAACCTTTGACTGGTACTGTATATATTTATAGTCCTGACTCTGGCATTGCTAATATTTCTATATTTCTTAATTCTTTAACTTTTTAGATTTACTTGTATTGTTAGATATTACTGCAATGTTGGAGCTACACCCGCAATAACATCTGCTAAATGTGTATCCGACCAATAAAATTTGAAATTGCTTTATTGTAGCTTTGTGCTGTCACAATGTCTCTTCACTAACCTTATTCTCATAGATTTAATGAAACAATTTAGACAAGTCTCCTGAGATTCTTCTGGGCTTTTCTAATATCCTCTAATCTGCACTCCTTTTCCCTTTATAGTACACTAGTTTCGACCAGAGGCCTATTTGGGACACAACCTCAGGCTTAGGAGGACAGTCACAGTGCAGATTAGAGGATATTAGAAAAGCCCAGAAGAATGTCAGGAGATCCCTCCTTCCTGCCCCAGTAAGGTGCTGTAGTGTAGTTTACGCTGGCCACTGAGAGAAACAGGTGATCCAATCCAGATGTCGAGACTAGAGCATGTCTTTATCTTCTTCATGTGGGCTGATAGGGAAAGACTGCTGGTGAGCGTCGTTGTGAGATGACCTTCAAATAAAATGGTTGTAGAAATATGCTGCCAACAGAGCCCTATATATTTTTTTGAAGGGTAGTAGCTAGCTTTCACGAGGCACCTAATTGGCAAAGCACAAGGATCAGAAGCAGTGAGTCATTCATTAGATAGCAGCTACAGTAGAAAGGGACGAGTTACTATGGGGAATCCCTGCCAAGATCCACCAAGGTCGAAAGCTAGTGTGTGTGACAACTCATGCACAACAATACAATTAAGAATAGAGAGGCTTGTTTAAGAAAACAAACAGGGGAGACTACCGTTCCTAGCTTGATCAGTAGAAGAAAAAGCAACACTACAGGTTTGCTGTACTAGTATCTAGGACAGTACAGAGAATGGGCACACAGACAGACAACAGAGTGGGATGAAAGAATGCTTACTTTTTAGAGGGGGTGTTTAGGGGTTGTGGGTAGCATTTCACATTTCTAGACAGTTGGACACCACCCATTGTGTTCAATGCCTAATAATAGGACCATGCAGTGTCTGTAGGGCAGCAAAGCTTCTGTTTGTGGCTGTAAAGATAATCTCCATGTCCTCACTCTACCGCAAGCTTTCCTGGACTAAGGTGACACACTCTTCCCCTGGCTGCAAATCGAATGAATGATCACTGACTGACTGACTGTATCTCACTCAATGTCTCTCCAATACATACGTTAGGCTTATTCTATAGGCTGGTGTAAGCACCATTCAACACCAGTTGCACCATAAACTGGAGAGATCACTGTTACACTTAATTTGATTTGGGCAAAGAGATAGGTTAGATAAAAAAACTGAGCATATAAGCTGAAGAATGTGTTGAAGAATGACAGCACAAACTCCTAGTCGTAGCTGTGTTTGTGGTGAAGATTGACAACACAAACTCCTAGTCGTAGCTGTGTTTGTGGTGAAGAATGACAGCACAAACTCCTAGTCGTAGCTGTGTTTGTGGTGAAGAATGACAGCACAAACTCCTAGTCGTAGCCGTGTTTGTGGTGAAGATTGACAACACAAACTCCTAGTCGTAGCTGTGTTTGTGGTGAAGAATGACAGCACAAACTCCTAGTCGTAGCCGTGTTTGTGGTGAAGATTGACAACACAAACTCCTAGTCGTAGCTGTGTTTGTGGTGAAGAATGACAGCACAAACTCCTAGTCGTAGCCGTGTTTGTGGTGAAGATTGACAACACAAACTCCTAGTCGTAGCTGTGTTTGTGGTGAAGAATGACAGCACAAACTCCTAGTCGTAGCCGTGTTTGTGGTGAAGATTGACAACACAAACTCCTAGTCGTAGCTGTGTTTGTGGTGAAGAATGACAGCACAAACTCCTAGTCGTAGCCGTGTTTGTGGTGAAGATTGACAACAAACTCCTAGTCGTAGCTGTGTTTGTGGTGAAGAATGACAGCACAAACTCCTAGTCGTAGCCGTGTTTGTGGTGAAGAATGACAGCACAAACTCCTAGTCGTAGCTGTGTTTGTGGTGAAGAATGACAGCACAAACTCCTAGTCGTAGCTGTGTTTGTGGTGAAGAATGACAGCACAAACTCCTAGTCGTAGCTGTGTTTGTGGTGAAGAATGACAGCACAAACTCCTAGTCGTAGCTGTGTTTGTGGTGAAGAATGACAGCACAAACTCCTAGTCGTAGCTGTGTTTGTGGTGAAGAATGACAGCACAAACTCCTAGTCGTAGCTGTGTTTGTGGTGAAGAATGACAGCACAAACTCCTAGTCGTAGCTGTGTTTGTGGTGAAGAATGACAACACAAACTCCTAGTCGTAGCCGTGTTTGTGGTGAAGGTAAGCAGTTTGTTTCCTGCTCATTGTTTTTTGAGGACATTCAGCAGCACTGTTGACCTGTTGACCTTGAGCATATTGAGCCGCTGTCATCACATATTACGAAACATCTTGAACGGAAACATAAATATCCCGGTGGTGTCTACTGAAGAAGATTTGATTTGATTTGCTAAAGGGAAAAGGAATGCAATGTGGGACACAACTTGAGTATTTGATGTGAGGACACATACCTTTCCTGTGGCCCTAGCTGTGCAGAGGGGTTTGGCCAGGCTGGGCTGTTGATAGTAGAGAGACAGAGGGGTTTGGCTGGGCTGTTGATAGTAGAGAGACAGAGGGGTTTGGCTGGGCTGTTGATAGTAGAGGCAGAGGGGTTTGGCTGGGCTGTTGATAGTAGAGAGGCAGAGGGGTTTGGCTGGGCTGTTGATAGTAGAGAGACAGAGGGGTTTGGCCAGGCTGGGCTGTTGATAGTAGAGAGGCAGAGGGGTTTGGCTGGGCTGTTGATAGTAGAGAGGCAGAGGGGTTTGGCTGGGCTGTTGATAGTAGAGAGGCAGAGGGGTTTGGCTGGGCTGTTGATAGTAGAGGCAGAGGGGTTTGGCTGGGCTGTTGATAGTAGAGAGGCAGAGGGGTTTGGCTGGGCTGTTGATAGTAGAGGCAGAGGGGTTTGGCTGGGCTGTTGATAGTAGAGGCAGAGGGGTTTGGCTGGGCTGTTGATAGTAGAGAGGCAGAGGGGTTTGGCTGGGCTGTTGATAGTAGAGGCAGAGGGGTTTGGCTGGGCTGTTGATAGTAGAGAGGCAGAGGGGTTTGGCTGGGCTGTTGATAGTAGAGAGACAGAGGGGTTTGGCTGGGCTGTTGATAGTAGAGAGGCAGAGGGGTTTGGCTGGGCTGTTGATAGTAGAGAGGCAGAGGGGTTTGGCCAGGCTGGGCTGTTGATAGTAGAGAGACAGAGGGGTTTGGCTGGGCTGTTGATAGTAGAGGCAGAGGGGTTTGGCTGGGCTGTTGATAGTAGAGAGACAGAGGGGTTTGGCTGGGCTGTTGATAGTAGAGGCAGAGGGGTTTGGCTGGGCTGTTGATAGTAGAGAGGCAGAGGGGTTTGGCTGGGCTGTTGATAGTAGAGAGGCAGAGGGGTTTGGCTGGGCTGTTGATAGTAGAGAGACAGAGGGGTTTGGCTGGGCTGGGCTGTTGATAGTAGAGAGACAGAGGGGTTTGGCTGGGCTGTTGATAGTAGAGGCAGAGGGGTTTGGCTGGGCTGTTGATAGTAGAGGCAGAGGGGTTTGGCTGGGCTGTTGATAGTAGAGAGGCAGAGGGGTTTGGCTGGGCTGTTGATAGTAGAGAGATAGAGGGGTTTGGCTGGGCTGTTGATAGTAGAGAGGCAGAGGGGTTTGGCTGGGCTGTTGATAGTAGAGAGGCAGAGGGGTTTGGCTGGGCTGTTGATAGTAGAGAGACAGGGGTTTGGCTGGGCTGTTGATAGTAGAGAGACAGAGGGGTTTGGCTGGGCTGTTGATAGTAGAGAGGCAGAGGGGTTTGGCTGGGCTGTTGATAGTAGAGAGGCAGAGGGGTTTGGCTGGGCTGTTGATAGTAGAGAGGCAGAGGGGTTTGGCTGGGCTGTTGATAGTAGAGAGACAGAGGGGTTTGGCTGGGCTGTTGATAGTAGAGAGACAGAGGGGTTTGGCTGGGCTGTTGATAGTAGAGAGACAGAGGGGTTTGGCTGGGCTGTTGATAGTAGAGAGGCAGAGGGGTTTGGCTGGGCTGTTGATAGTAGAGAGGCAGAGGGGTTTGGCTGGGCTGTTGATAGTAGAGAGACAGAGGGGTTTGGCTGGGCTGTTGATAGTAGAGAGGCAGAGGGGTTTGGCTGGGCTGTTGATAGTAGAGGCAGAGGGGTTTGGCTGGGCTGTTGATAGTAGAGAGGCAGAGGGGTTTGGCTGGGCTGTTGATAGTAGAGAGACAGAGGGGTTTGGCTGGGCTGTTGATAGTAGAGAGGCAGAAGGGTTTGGCTGGGCTGTTGATAGTAGAGGCAGAGGGGTTTGGCTGGGCTGTTGATAGTAGAGAGACAGAGGGGTTTGGCTGGGCTGTTGATAGTAGAGAGGCAGAAGGGTTTGGCTGGGCTGTTGATAGTAGAGGCAGAGGGGTTTGGCTGGGCTGTTGATAGTAGAGAGGCAGAGGGGTTTGGCTGGGCTGTTGATAGTAGAGAGGCAGAGGGGTTTGGCCAGGCTGGGCTGTTGATAGTAGAGAGACAGAGGGGTTTGGCTGGGCTGTTGATAGTAGAGAGGCAGAGGGGTTTGGCTGGGCTGTTGATAGTAGAGGCAGAGGGGTTTGGCTGGGCTGTTGATAGTAGAGAGGCAGAGGGGTTTGGCTGGGCTGTTGATAGTAGAGAGACAGAGGGGTTTGGCTGGGCTGTTGATAGTAGAGAGGCAGAAGGGTTTGGCTGGGCTGTTGATAGTAGAGAGGCAGAGGGGTTTGGCTGGGCTGTTGATAGTAGAGAGACAGAGGGGTTTGGCTGGGCTGTTGATAGTAGAGAGGCAGAAGGGTTTGGCTGGGCTGTTGATAGTAGAGGCAGAGGGGTTTGGCTGGGCTGTTGATAGTAGAGAGGCAGAGGGGTTTGGCTGGGCTGTTGATAGTAGAGAGGCAGAGGGGTTTGGCCAGGCTGGGCTGTTGATAGTAGAGAGACAGAGGGGTTTGGCTGGGCTGTTGATAGTAGAGGCAGAGGGGTTTGGCTGGGCTGTTGATAGTAGAGAGGCAGAGGGGTTTGGCCAGGCTGGGCTGTTGATAGTAGAGAGACAGAGGGGTTTGGCTGGGCTGTTGATAGTAGAGGCAGAGGGGTTTGGCTGGGCTGTTGATAGTAGAGAGGCAGAGGGGTTTGGCTGGGCTGTTGATAGTAGAGAGACAGAGGGGTTTGGCTGGGCTGTTGATAGTAGAGAGGCAGAGGGGTTTGGCTGGGCTGTTGATAGTAGAGAGGCAGAGGGGTTTGGCCAGGCTGGGCTGTTGATAGTAGAGAGACAGAGGGGTTTGGCTGGGCTGTTGATAGTAGAGGCAGATGGGTTTGGCTGGGCTGTTGATAGTAGAGAGGCAGAGGGGTTTGGCCAGGCTGGGCTGTTGATAGTAGAGAGACAGAGGGGTTTGGCTGGGCTGTTGATAGTAGAGGCAGAGGGGTTTGGCTGGGCTGTTGATAGTAGAGAGACAGAGGGGTTTGGCTGGGCTGTTGATAGTAGAGAGGCAGAGGGGTTTGGCTGGGCTGTTGATAGTAGAGAGGCAGAGGGGTTTGGCCAGGCTGGGCTGTTGATAGTAGAGAGACAGAGGGGTTTGGCTGGGCTGTTGATAGTAGAGGCAGAGGGGTTTGGCTGGGCTGTTGATAGTAGAGAGACAGAGGGGTTTGGCTGGGCTGTTGATAGTAGAGAGGCAGAGGGGTTTGGCTGGGCTGTTGATAGTAGAGGCAGAGGGGTTTGGCTGGGCTGTTGATAGTAGAGAGGCAGAGGGGTTTGGCTGGGCTGTTGATAGTAGAGAGACAGAGGGGTTTGGCTGGGCTGTTGATAGTAGAGAGGCAGAGGGGTTTGGCTGGGCTGTTGATAGTAGAGGCAGAGGGGTTTGGCTGGGCTGTTGATAGTAGAGAGGCAGAGGGGTTTGGCTGGGCTGTTGATAGTAGAGAGGCAGAGGGGTTTGGCCAGGCTGGGCTGTTGATAGTAGAGAGACAGAGGGGTTTGGCTGGGCTGTTGATAGTAGAGGCAGAGGGGTTTGGCTGGGCTGTTGATAGTAGAGAGGCAGAGGGGTTTGGCCAGGCTGGGCTGTTGATAGTAGAGAGACAGAGGGGTTTGGCTGGGCTGTTGATAGTAGAGGCAGAGGGGTTTGGCTGGGCTGTTGATAGTAGAGAGGCAGAGGGGTTTGGCTGGGCTGTTGATAGTAGAGAGACAGAGGGGTTTGGCTGGGCTGTTGATAGTAGAGAGGCAGAGGGGTTTGGCTGGGCTGTTGATAGTAGAGAGGCAGAGGGGTTTGGCTGGGCTGTTGATAGTAGAGAGACAGAGGGGTTTGGCTGGGCTGTTGATAGTAGAGAGACAGAGGGGTTTGGCTGGGCTGTTGATAGTAGAGAGACAGAGGGGTTTGGCTGGGCTGTTGATAGTAGAGAGGCAGAGGGGTTTGGCTGGGCTGTTGATAGTAGAGAGGCAGAGGGATTTGGCCAGGCTGGGCTGTTGATAGTAGAGAGGCAGAGGGGTTTGGCTGGGCTGTTGATAGTAGAGAGACAGAGGGGTTTGGCTGGGCTGTTGATAGTAGAGAGACAGAGGGGTTTGGCTGGGCTGTTGATAGTAGAGAGGCAGAGGGGTTTGGCTGGGCTGTTGATAGTAGAGGCAGAGGGGTTTGGCTGGGCTGTTGATAGTAGAGAGGCAGAGGGGTTTGGCTGGGCTGTTGATAGTAGAGAGACAGAGGGGTTTGGCTGGGCTGTTGATAGTAGAGAGGCAGAAGGGTTTGGCTGGGCTGTTGATAGTAGAGGCAGAGGGGTTTGGCTGGGCTGTTGATAGTAGAGAGGCAGAGGGGTTTGGCTGGGCTGTTGATAGTAGAGAGGCAGAGGGGTTTGGCCAGGCTGGGCTGTTGATAGTAGAGAGACAGAGGGGTTTGGCTGGGCTGTTGATAGTAGAGGCAGAGGGGTTTGGCTGGGCTGTTGATAGTAGAGAGGCAGAGGGGTTTGGCCAGGCTGGGCTGTTGATAGTAGAGAGACAGAGGGGTTTGGCTGGGCTGTTGATAGTAGAGGCAGAGGGGTTTGGCTGGGCTGTTGATAGTAGAGAGGCAGAGGGGTTTGGCTGGGCTGTTGATAGTAGAGAGACAGAGGGGTTTGGCTGGGCTGTTGATAGTAGAGAGGCAGAGGGGTTTGGCTGGGCTGTTGATAGTAGAGAGGCAGAGGGGTTTGGCCAGGCTGGGCTGTTGATAGTAGAGAGACAGAGGGGTTTGGCTGGGCTGTTGATAGTAGAGGCAGATGGGTTTGGCTGGGCTGTTGATAGTAGAGAGGCAGAGGGGTTTGGCCAGGCTGGGCTGTTGATAGTAGAGAGACAGAGGGGTTTGGCTGGGCTGTTGATAGTAGAGGCAGAGGGGTTTGGCTGGGCTGTTGATAGTAGAGAGACAGAGGGGTTTGGCTGGGCTGTTGATAGTAGAGAGGCAGAGGGGTTTGGCTGGGCTGTTGATAGTAGAGAGGCAGAGGGGTTTGGCCAGGCTGGGCTGTTGATAGTAGAGAGACAGAGGGGTTTGGCTGGGCTGTTGATAGTAGAGGCAGAGGGGTTTGGCTGGGCTGTTGATAGTAGAGAGACAGAGGGGTTTGGCTGGGCTGTTGATAGTAGAGAGGCAGAGGGGTTTGGCTGGGCTGTTGATAGTAGAGGCAGAGGGGTTTGGCTGGGCTGTTGATAGTAGAGAGGCAGAGGGGTTTGGCTGGGCTGTTGATAGTAGAGAGACAGAGGGGTTTGGCTGGGCTGTTGATAGTAGAGAGGCAGAGGGGTTTGGCTGGGCTGTTGATAGTAGAGGCAGAGGGGTTTGGCTGGGCTGTTGATAGTAGAGAGGCAGAGGGGTTTGGCTGGGCTGTTGATAGTAGAGAGGCAGAGGGGTTTGGCCAGGCTGGGCTGTTGATAGTAGAGAGACAGAGGGGTTTGGCTGGGCTGTTGATAGTAGAGGCAGAGGGGTTTGGCTGGGCTGTTGATAGTAGAGAGGCAGAGGGGTTTGGCCAGGCTGGGCTGTTGATAGTAGAGAGACAGAGGGGTTTGGCTGGGCTGTTGATAGTAGAGGCAGAGGGGTTTGGCTGGGCTGTTGATAGTAGAGAGGCAGAGGGGTTTGGCTGGGCTGTTGATAGTAGAGAGACAGAGGGGTTTGGCTGGGCTGTTGATAGTAGAGAGGCAGAGGGGTTTGGCTGGGCTGTTGATAGTAGAGAGGCAGAGGGGTTTGGCCAGGCTGGGCTGTTGATAGTAGAGAGACAGAGGGGTTTGGCTGGGCTGTTGATAGTAGAGGCAGAGGGGTTTGGCTGGGCTGTTGATAGTAGAGAGGCAGAGGGGTTTGGCCAGGCTGGGCTGTTGATAGTAGAGAGACAGAGGGGTTTGGCTGGGCTGTTGATAGTAGAGGCAGAGGGGTTTGGCTGGGCTGTTGATAGTAGAGAGACAGAGGGGTTTGGCTGGGCTGTTGATAGTAGAGAGGCAGAGGGGTTTGGCTGGGCTGTTGATAGTAGAGAGGCAGAGGGGTTTGGCTGGGCTGTTGATAGTAGAGAGACAGGGGTTTGGCTGGGCTGTTGATAGTAGAGAGACAGAGGGGTTTGGCTGGGCTGTTGATAGTAGAGAGGCAGAGGGGTTTGGCTGGGCTGTTGATAGTAGAGAGATAGAGGGGTTTGGCTGGGCTGTTGATAGTAGAGAGGCAGAGGGGTTTGGCTGGGCTGTTGATAGTAGAGAGGCAGAGGGGTTTGGCTGGGCTGTTGATAGTAGAGAGGCAGAGGGGTTTGGCTGGGCTGTTGATAGTAGAGAGACAGAGGGGTTTGGCTGGGCTGTTGATAGTAGAGAGGCAGATGGGTTTGGCTGGGCTGTTGATAGTAGAGAGGCAGAGGGGTTTGGCTGGGCTGTTGATAGTAGAGAGGCAGAGGGGTTTGGCTGGGCTGTTGATAGTAGAGAGGCAGAGGGGTTTGGCTGGGCTGTTGATAGTAGAGAGACAGAGGGGTTTGGCTGGGCTGTTGATAGTAGAGAGACAGAGGGGTTTGGCTGGGCTGTTGATAGTAGAGAGACAGAGGGGTTTGGCTGGGCTTTTGATAGTAGAGAGGCAGAGGGGTTTGGCTGGGCTGTTGATAGTAGAGAGGCAGAGGGGTTTGGCTGGGCTGTTGATAGTAGAGAGGCAGAGGGGTTTGGCTGGGCTGTTGATAGTAGAGAGGCAGAGGGGTTTGGCTGGGCTGTTGATAGTAGAGAGGCAGAGGGGTTTGGCTGGGCTGTTGATAGTAGAGGCAAAGGGGTTTGGCTGGGCTGTTGATAGTAGAGGCAGAGGGGTTTGGCTGGGCTGTTGATAGTAGAGAGGCAGATGGGTTTGGCTGGGCTGTTGATAGTAGAGAGGCAGAGGGGTTTGGCCAGGCTGGGCTGTTGATAGTAGAGAGGCAGAGGGGTTTGGCTGGGCTGTTGATAGTAGAGAGACAGAGGGGTTTGGCTGGGCTGTTGATAGTAGAGGCAGAGGGGTTTGGCTGGGCTGTTGATAGTAGAGAGACAGAGGGGTTTGGCTGGGCTGTTGATAGTAGAGAGGCAGAGGGGTTTGGCTGGGCTGTTGATAGTAGAGGCAGAGGGGTTTGGCTGGGCTGTTGATAGTAGAGAGGCAGAGGGGTTTGGCTGGGCTGTTGATAGTAGAGAGACAGAGGGGTTTGGCTGGGCTGTTGATAGTAGAGAGACAGGGGTTTGGCTGGGCTGTTGATAGTAGAGAGGCAGAGGGGTTTGGCTGGGCTGTTGATAGTAGAGGCAGAGGGGTTTGGCTGGGCTGTTGATAGTAGAGAGGCAGAGGGGTTTGGCTGGGCTGTTGATAGTAGAGGCAGATGGGTTTGGCTGGGCTGTTGATAGTAGAGAGGCAGAGGGGTGAGGGGGAAGTACTGGGATGGAGGGGGGAGGATGGGAGACAGAAAGGCTGCTGGGCTGTCTGTGTTTGTAATAAGCCGAGAGCACAGGAGGAGCCCACCGGTGAGGGAAACACTGGGGTCAAGAGGCCTGCCACACACACACACACACACACACACACACACACACACACACACTCGGCAGCCCAGGCCCAGTGTTTGGAAGCTCTGCTTACTGGAGGAAGCAATAATGGAAGCATGCTTCCGGAGGGCTGAGCGGCCGGCCGTCCTGTTGCCTGACAGAGCGCTAACTCACTGGGCTTTGCTTTGTCCTCCTCTCATTGGGAAGGGATGTGGAGAAGACAAGCCTCAGCTGTGGGGCCTCACATGTTGAGCATCAGTGAACAGCGTCATAGTACACACACACACACACACACACACACACAGCTTTAGATTTAGAAATGAAACCCTTTGGGCCTCCCGAGTGGCGCAGTGGTCTAAGGCACTGCATCGCAGTGGTAGAGGCGTCACTACAGACCCGGTTTTAATCCCGGGCTGTATCACAACCGGCCGTGATCGGGATTCCCATAGGGCGGCACACAATTGGCCCAGCGTCGTCCGGGTTTGGGGAGGGTTTGGCCGGGGGGGCTTTACTTGGCTCATCGTGCTCTAGCAACTCCTTGTGGGGGGCCGGGCGCCTGCAGGCTAACCTCGGTCATCAGGTGAACGGTGTTTCCTCTGACAAATTGGTGCAGCTGGCTTCTGGGTTAAGCGGGCAGGTGTTAAGAAGCGCGGTTTGGCGGGTCATGTTTCGGAGTACGCATGACTCGATCTTCGCCTCCCGAGCCCGTTGGGGAGTTGCAGCGATGAGACAAGATTGAAATTGGGGAGAAAAAGGGGATAAAAAAATATAGTATATATACAGTTGAAGTCGGAAGTTTACTTACACCTTAGCCAAATACATTTAAACTCAGTTTTTCACAATTCCTGACATTTAATCCTAGTAAAAAGTATCTGTTTTAGGTCAGTTAGGATCACCACTTTATTTTAACAATGTGAAATGTCAGAATAATAGAGAATTATTTATTTCAGCTTTTATTTCTTTCATCACATTCCCAGTGGGTCAGAAGTTTACATACACTCAATTAGTATTTGGTAGCATTACCTTTAAATTGTTTAACTTGGGTCAAACGTTTCGGGTAGCCTTCCACAAGCTTCCCACAATAAGTTGGGTGAATTTTGGCCCATTCCTCCTGACAGAGCTGGTGTAACTGAGTCAGGTTTGTAGGCCTCCTTGCTCGCACACGCTTTTTCAGTTCTGCCCACACATTTTCTATAGGATTGAGGTCAGGGCTTTGTGATGGCCATTCCAATACCTTGACTTTGTTGTCCTTAAGCCATTTTGCCACAACTTTGGAAGTATGGTTGGGGTCATTGTCCATTTGGAAGACCCATTTGCGACCAAGCTTTAACTTCCTTACTGATGTCTTGAAATGTTGCTTCAATATATCCACGTCATTTTCCGTCCTCATGATGCCATCTATTTTGTGAAGTGCACCAGTCCCTCCTACAGCAAAGCACCCCCACAGCATGATGCTGCCACCCCCGTGCTTCACGGTTGGGATGGTGTTCTTCGGCTTGCAAGTTCCCCCTTTTTCCTCCAAACATAACGATGGTCATTATGGTCAAACAGTTCTATTTTTGTTTCATCAGACCAGAGGACATTTCTCCAAAAAGTACGATCTTTGTCCCCATGTGCAGTTGCAAACCGTAGTCTGGCTTTTTTATGGTGGTTTTGGAGCAGTGGCTTCTTCCTTGCTCAGTGGCCTTTCAGGATATAGATACTTTTGTACCTGTTTCCTCCAGCATCTTCACAAGGTCCTTTGCTGTTGTTCTGGGATTGATTTGCACTTTTCGCACCAAAGTACGTTCACCTCTAGGAGACAACGCGTCTCCTTCCTGAGCGGTATGACGGGTGCGTGGTCCCATGGTGTTTATACTTGCGTACTATTGTTTGTACAGATGAACGTGGTACCTTCAGGCATTTGGAAATTGCTCCCAAGGATGAACCAGACTTGTGGAGGTCTACAAAACAATTTTCTGAGGTCTTGGCTGATTTCTTTTGATTTTCCCATGATGTCAAGCAAAGAGGCACTAGGTTTGAAGGGAGGCCTTGAAATACATCCACAGGTACACCTCCAACTCAAATTATGTCAATTAGCATATCAGAAGCTTCTAAAGCCATGACATTGTTTTCTGGAATTTTCCAAGCTGTTTAAAGGCACAGTCAACTTAGTGTATGTAAACTTCTGACCCACTGGAATTGTGATACAGTGAATTATAAGTGAAATAATCTGTCTGTAAACAATTGTTGGAAAAATGTCTTAAAGTAGATGTCCTAACCGACTTGCCAAAACTATAGTTTGTTAACAAGAAATTTGTGGAGTGGTTGAAAAACAAGTTTTATTGACTCCAACCTAACTGTATGTAAACTTCCAACTTCAACTGTGTATATATGTATATATATATATACATACACACACACACACACACACAGTGGGGAGAACAAGTATTTGATACACTGCCGATTTTGCAGGTTTTCCTACATACATAGCATGTGGAGGTCTGTAATTTTTATCATAGGTACACTTCAACTGTGAGAGACGGAATCTAAAACAAAAATCCAGAAAATCACATTGTATGATTTTTAAGTAATTAATTTGCATTTTATTGCATGACATAAGTATTTGATCACCTACCAACCAGTAAGAATTCCGGCTCTCACAGACCTGTTAGTTTTTCTTTAAGAAGCCCTCCTGTTCTCCACTCATTACCTACATTTACATTTACATTTTAGTCATTTAGCAGACGCTCTTATCCAGAGCGACTTACAGGAGCAATTAGGGTTAAGTGCCTTGCTCAAGGGCACATTAACGTCATTTAGCAGACGCTCTTAGCCAGAGCGACTCACAAATTGGTGCGTTCACCCTATAGCCAGTGGGATAACCACTTTACAGAGAGAACTTGGGAAGGTTGAACACCAGACGGGCTGCGGCATTCTGGATGAGTTGTAGGGGTTTAATGGCACAGGCAGGGAGGCCAGCCAACAGCGAGTTGCAGTAGTCCAGACGGGAGATGACAAGTGCCTGGACCAGGACCTGCGCCGCTTCCTGTGTAAGGCAGGGTCGCACTCTCCGAATGTTGTAGAGCATGAACCTGCAGGAGCGGGTCACCGCCTTGATGTTGGCGGAGAACGACAGGGTGTTGTCCAGGGTCACGCCTAGGCTCTTCGCACTCTGGGAGGAGGACACAGCGGAGTTGTCAACCGTGATGGCGAGATCATGGAACGGGCAGTCCTTCCCCGGGAGGAAGAGCAGCTCCGTCTTGCCAGGGTTCAGCTTGAGGTGGTGATCCGTCATCCATACTGATATGTCTGCCAGACATGCAGAGATGCGATTCGCCACCTGGTTATCAGAAGGGGGAAAGGAGAAGATTAGTTGTGTATCGTCAGCGTAGCAATGATAGGAAAGGCCATGTGAGGATATGACAGAGCCAAGTGACTTGGTGTATAGGGAGAAAAGGAGAGGGCCTAGAACCGAGCCCTGGGGGACACCAGTGGTGAGAGCACGTGGTGCGGAGACAGCTTCCCGCCACGCCACTTGGTAGGAGCGACCGGTCAGGTACGACGCAATCCAGGAGTGAGCCGCGCCGGAGATGCCCAGCTCGGAGAGGGTGGAGAGGAGGATCTGATGGTTCACAGTATCAAAGGCAGCAGACAGGTCTAGAAGGACAAGAGCAGAGGAGAGAGAGTTAGCTTTAGCAGTGCGGAGAGTCTCCGTGACACAGAGAAGAGCAGTCTCAGTTGAATGACCAGTCCTGAAACCTGATTGGTTTGGATCAAGAAGGTCATTCTGAGAGAGATAGCAAGAGAGTTGGCTAAAGACGGCACGCTCAATAGTTTTGGAAAGAAAAGAAAGAAGGGATACTGGTCTGTAGTTGTTGACATCAGTGGGGTCGAGTGTTGGTTTTTTGAGAAGGGGAGCAACTCTCGCTCTCTTGAAGACGGAAGGGACATGGCCAGCGGTCAAGGATGAGTTGATCAGCGAGGTGAGGTAGGGGAGAAGGTCACCGGAGATGGTCTGGAGAAGGGAGGAGGGGATGGTCTCAAGCGGGCAGGTTGTTGGGCGGCCTGCAGTCACAAGTCGCAGGATTTTATCTGGAGAGAGAGGGGAGAAAGAAGTCAAAGCATAGGGCCTGTATTAACTGCACCTGTTTGAACTCGTTACCTGTATAAAAGACACCTGTCCACACACTCAATCAAACAGACTCCAACCTCTCCACAATGGCCAAGACCAGAGAGCTGTGTAAGGACATCAGGGATAAAATTGTAGACCTGCACAAGGCTGGGATGGGCTACAGGACAATAGGCAAGCAGCTTGGTGAGAAGGCAACAACTGTTGGCGCAATTATTAGAAAATGGAAGATGTTCAAGAGGACGGTCAATCACCCTCGGTCTGGGGCTCCATGCAAGATCTCACCTCGTGGGGCATCAATGATCATGAGGAAGGTGAGGGATCAGCCCAGAACTACACGGCAGGACCTGGTCAATGACCTGAAGAGAGCTGGGACCACAGTCTCAAAGAAAACCATTAGTAACACACTACGCCGTCATGGATTAAAATCCTGCAGCACACGCAAGGTCCCCTTGCTCAAGCCAGCGCATGTCCAGGCCCGTCTGAAGTTTGCCAATGACCATCTGGATGATCCAGAGGAGGAATGGAAGAAGGTCATGTGGTCTGATGAGACAAAAATAGAGCTTTTTGGTCTAACTCCCCTCGCCGTGTTTGGAGGAAGAAGAAGGATGAGTACAACCCCAAGAACAGCATCCCAACCGTGAAGCATGGAGGTGGAAACATCGTTCTTTGGAGATGCTTTTCTGCAAAGGGGACAGGACGACTGCACCGTATTGAGGGGAGGATGGATGGGGCCATGTATTGCGAGATCTTGGCCTACAACCTCCTTCCCTCAGTAAGAGCATTGAAGATGGGTCGTGGCTGGGTCTTCCAGCATGACAACGACCCGAAACACACAGCCAGGGCAACTAAGGTGTGGCTCCGTAAGAAGCATCTCAAAGTCCTGGAGTGGCCTAGCCAGTCTCCAGACCTGAACCGAATAGAAAATCTTTGGAGGGAGCTGAAAGTCCGTATTGCCCAGCGACAGCCCCGAAACCTGAAGGATCTGGAGAAGGTCTGTATGGAGGAGTGTGCCAAAATCCCTGCTGCAGTGTGTGCAAACCTGGTCAAGACCTACAGGAAACATATGATCTCTGTAATTGCAAACAT